AAAAAAAAAAAAAAAAAAAAACTTGATATTGTTGGCAGTGGGCCTGAGAATAATGCCCGGGAAGGGGAAAGACTGGATATGGTATGCAGCTTTGCTAGATGGAGAAATGTTTACCACGACTTAGTTGAGGAGCACTTTATCTGTGCCTTAAATTACTTATAGTTTACCTGTCCTTTTGTACACAAACATCAAATAATATAAAGAAAGGGGCCTGTTCCCTAGGTGATTGTGTAAACAGAGCACGGCAGTCATGTAAACACAGACTCGGTTTGCAGACTGTTCAGCACTGCTCCATACTTTGGTGGTATAAACTTACAGAAATGCTGATTTTAAGTTGGTAAATCAGTGGTTAACTTATTAGAAATATATATTGATTTACTATCCCTGAAGTTAGTGCTGTCATATAGGTTTACTAGATACTACCAAAAAGTCAGATAATGGCTATCATAAATAAACTAACTAAATAGTTCTCTCTGAAGCCACAAATATACCATTTATAATCTCCAGTATTGATCTTGGTAAATATGACGAATGAATTTCCCCAAATGCTTAGTGTACCCTTTACTTGGTGGGGTTAATAGGAATTGGCCAAATCTCTCCTGGTTCTAAATTCAAACCTTAAACAATAAGATTCACGGAAACAATTTAGACAGTACTAGTACAATATTGCAGTCATTTTAAGATCTTCATGACAGCAATTGTTTAAATAAAGCTCACTTTGAATAGGGTTATTATCTTGGTACCATAGATAAGTTAATTTCTGTTGCAAGGTCTGAGTGATTAGTTTTTGTGGCATAACAATAAATACACATCCGGTCTTCAGGGATAATTGATATGGAATATTCAGTCTGGGAAGTTCACATGAATGCTGCTGAGAATGAGTAAATAACCATTACAGATTTTTTTTTTTTTTTTTTTTTGTCCTAACTTATGCTTGGATTTCTTGGTTTATGCGTTTGACCATGATGTATCTAAATACAGGAATTTATGGGGAAAAGGCTAAAAAGGAAAAATTAGATATTATTACTTTTAATTTTCTTTGTTTTAGTGCAGTTTGATAGGGTTTAAATCTTGAAAATATTTGTTGAAATATATTAAAGACCTAAAAAAAATGAAGGGAAAGTTCTGAACAGAGTGAGTTGATTTAAGTTGGTATTGTATACTTTTGTCTTTAAAAATAAGAGGGTCCTAGAATGCGCATATATATATATAACGGAAGTACTTATTTTTATATGCATTCAGCATCAAAAATGAAAAAAAAAAGTTAATATTGAAAAGGTAACATTTATACATTAATATTGACATTTATCTATTGGATCTAATGAAGTTGTATTAAGCAGACATTTGATGACCTTTATTTTTTCATCAATTTTCAGGGGCCTCCCATGGAATGAGTGACGATCACGACGAGGAGTGCAACGAGTTAGCACGACGCCTGGGCCTTGCTTCACGTATAGTGGGGGCTGTTGGGATTGCCGCTACAATTGTGACATTGATCATTGTTTTACCAATAGTTCTCACTTAGAGACAGACATCTGACGTGATAACCTACCAGTGATTTAGAGGGACACTAGCCTGATCTGTTTGGATTTTTTTTCCAATTTATTTATTTATTATTATTATTATTATTATTATTATTATTATTATTATTATTATTTTTGCATCTGGTAGGAATTCACTAGTCAAATGGGCATACAGTCACCATCATTGCAATGCTGGCAGGTATTTTTAACAGTGAGACCTGATCATATGAGGATGCTGATTTATGTACATGTATAGATTACATGTCAGTGATTTGAATATAGATATGGTTTCTAATACTGTGTTTGTGAATTATACTGTATATATCTAAATGTTTGACTGAAATATGGACAATGCATTTTTTGACATTTAATTAAGATTTTATGTATTTTATATGGACTGTGTATTAAAAAGGAAAACTGTGTACATATTCACCAGTTGATAGATATGATATAAAAATATATGAGTTTTGATTAGAATGCTGTATGATGTTCCTGAGATGGACATTTTCTCGACTATGTATGATAAACTGACTACAAACAGATTATCCATGTCATGAACAGCAACCATGACCATCTAGACCATGAATAATAAAGTTTGCTGTCCATGTCTTTAGCATTAAGCATGATATATAATAATAAAATAATAATAATCTTTTTTTGAAATATTGCAACCCGAAGGTTGAAGTTATACATATATATATTTTTCATTTATTTATTTTTAAATGAAATTTATTTACATTTGAGAAACTGACTGTCCATGTCATGAAAAAAATTACCATAATAGCCACACTTAATAGCTTAACTAACCAGATAAATTACTATAACATCACAGTTACTTGTCAGTTTGCTCAAACACTCAGTGTCAAGTCAGAGAAGACCATCTTGACGGGTCTATAAGCAATTCCCTGCGCTATGTAAGGAAAAAAACAACTTACACCGAGGACAGTGCTTTTAACACTGTTTCATTCATATATTAGATGCGAAGCAGCTATGAATGTGCAGTATAAATACAAGAGCCGCTGGCTAGCTGGTCCCAGGTTAAAAATGACAGCGTTTATGAAGGTTATTTTTTAAGATGTAGGAGTAGTTGTAGAACCTTTTACACAAAGTGACTAAAGCCCCAGAATTAGATCAAGCTTTATTTAAGTTTTTTAATTTTAGGCCCCTTCAACCCAAGATAAAGCAGTAGGGATTCAATTAAATGAAATACTACAACAGTTACTGTTTTATAAAGTCTGGAAAATAATAAGGTTGAGACCAGCACATGAACAGCATACTGACTGCTAGAGATTTAGACCAAAAGATTGTTGAGCTTTCAGTTCCTTTGTGAAATGGGCTTTGGGTCACAAATCTTGATGTAAATATAAATGTTAATTAATAGCCCAGGCAAGTCATGTTATAAGGGGCAGCTAGTGGTTGAACATGATGTATCAGCTGCTTGTACATGCATCATAATCAAAAATATTTTATATGGATGTTAGTGGTGTGCTCTCTGAAAAATCATTTTTTCACACCCCTGTGACAGGACTCTGTTCATATATTTTGATTAACTTTGGTGCGTAATATTGCAGTGTAATATTGCACCAAGACTTGAAGAGCACAGCAACTAATAAGCAGCATCTCAAGGCAGAAATTTGCATTTGTATCAAATGTTTTTGTGGCTTTTTAGCAGTAATTGTAATATTTCTATTTTTTCATGTAAGGGGCTGGTCATATTTTCTATGGTTTTATATTTTGAATATTTACAAATAAAATTATGATTTTTTTAAAGAAAAACAAAAAATAAAGTGCCCCAAAACACTGGCCTAGATAACTACATGTATTTAGGTCACTGTGACCTAGAATATATATATGTATGTACTATATATATTCCCTTGCTGTTCTGTTGGTCTCAGTGCTCATTAGTAACAATATTTCTGACAAAATCTGTTTTAGTTACATGTATTATACAGTTGAATAGCTGATAAAAAAATTGTTTCATGGGCATCAGTGGGGCTTAGAGACAGCAGTTTGTAAATAGATGATATTGACAGCATAGACTTGGTAGTAAGTGTTATCTGATAAGATTTTCACATTAATAAAAATAGTGCATTTAATGGAGCAAATTGTGGCTAAATGAGAGAGGCATCAGCTGAAATATTGATTGCATTATCATATGTAATGTGTAGAGAGTCATGTACTAGTATGTGTAGAGAGATTATTATAAGGTAGTTGAAAAAGCTGTTGAAAAGTCTGGAGCCAATTTTGAAAGAAAGCAACAAGCATGGCACTTATGACCATTGTAAACTTGAGTGTTTATGGATTAAAGTGGTCAGTATTACCCATTGATTTTATGATAACTTAATGTGTGACATCACTTATAGTTACATTTTGTGTGCTGTATGTACTGTGATAAGTGAATGATACGAGAAGAGAAATCATGTACTTCGTTTGTCCTAAGACAACCATATACTTGATCGCTAGACTAAAACTGTATTGCATATCTCTGCAAAGAACAAGTTAATCCATTGAAAGGGAAATTTTAGAGGACATTTGATCCATCTGAAAGGAATTTTATTTTTGGTCTCTGCCAATTTTGTCTTGAATAAAGACATTTTCTGTATGCACAAATTCTCATTTAACATAAATTATACTGCTGAAATTTTATTTTGGTGTATTTTCAGAAGGATCATTTGTGCTTGCCTGGTGTAAATAATGTAAATATTGCATAGGTTGTTTTCTCCTTTTTTACATTACTCTCAATACTACTGAAGCTGTAGACAGTCTGTAGTTGTTAAGAACTTGTAATTCAAATAATGACAATGGTAATATTGAAAATATTCCTTCAGATATCATCGAACATGTACTTTTTTCTTTTAGATATAAGGATCAGTCAGTCACGTTGTTACACTGCAGTATACATATATTATAAAATATCGAGTTCGCAAGCATTTGTCAGAGCAATAGTGGTCGAAAGTATAAATTATAATTAAATATATATTTTTCTGTTGGATCTGTGTTTTAAATGTAATTTGTTAGTGAAAGAAAATAAAGGGAGCTTTTTAGCTTTACTTTCTGGTCGAGTTGTTAGCTTTTATTGAGTCTTGTCTGCATATGTCAACCATGTATTACCTTTATAACAGTTGCCATATGGGTCAAATGTACTTACAGATGTCTGAAGAGAGGGAAATTTGTTTGCACATATGTATGAAACTGTTTGTGTTACACTAAAATCTAATCGAAGGAAAGGTTTGGGCCACAATACTACCAGGTCGCTTATCTGGGCATTTCACATGGATAATAACTCCAAAACAGCGATTGATTTTCTATTTAAAATTTTCATGCATACTACTGGTACTGTGTAATAATATGCACAGGCCCTACTAATTCTATGATCTACAGTATGGTAGAGTCCCAAAGCATATGTGTGTGTGTGGGGGGGGGGGGGGGGGGGGGGAAAAAAAAACCCTTTTTGGGGGGGAAAGGTCCCCTCTTTATAAA